CTAGCCTCTTTACTATAACGATTTCTTATGAAATCACCTATTTCTTGTTGACTTTTATGTTTCTATTTAAGAATCATTTGTCAGAAGCATTTCAATGTCTATAGATAGATGAACTCTAATTTAAACAGATTTCAACTGTTTTTTCTGAAATTTCTTTTGAAGAATTTTCCTTAGTCTAGAAGATTTTTCTATAAATTAGCGATTAATAGCTATTGCTGAAGAAAAGCTATTGAAGAAAGTTAACGCCAATCCTGCAAGGCTCATAACTCGTTGGAATCGTAATCTGAAATAAATATTTAGATCAAAAAAGAAGCGAAAATGATGTTGAGAAAAGTTTTGACTGGTTTTCTATGGTTTCGTCAATTGAAAGCTAAATTTTGATTGACAACTGAAGTACTTTGTGTCTAATTACTAATATAGAAATGTTACTAGAATTCTTTGAGATTTCGACATGTAATAAGCTTTGAACTATTGATATCTAGTTTCTTCGATAATTTCTGCTCAGTAATAGCTATCAATCTCCAATTTATAAGAAAAAAATTTCACAATAAATGTGATCTTTAAAGAAATAAAAGGCAAATAAAAAAAAAGAGATTGCTCAAAATGATCATAATCAAGTAGTACTATCGAATCCTCGTTTTGAATAGTATGATGAAATTAAACTTGCATTAAGTAAAAAAAATGATCAAATACTTACTTTAGATACTTCAAAGAAAAAGTAATTATGGGAAAAAAATTGAAAACAATTTAGTCTATATCATATCTTTATTTTTTAGTTTTTCAAACGATATAACAAATTGGAAAAGAAAATCCAACATGCACCATTTGTTCGACATATTGAAGATAATACGTATTGATTGTTTGAATGAATAGATTTTTGGGTTAAAAAAAAAAACTTCATTGTTATACTTGAAATTTCTCAAAAATTGATATGTTCTAGTAGTTGTTTGAGCTTTTTGAGATAAACAAACAAATGAAACCAAATGGTAATATCTCTTAATTATATGTCATTCGAATTACAAGAAAAGATAGAATGATATACAAGACCAGCAGATTGAAACTAATTTGAGTTTAGTTTCCATTGAAAACTATCGGCTGAAATTTTTGTTTTTAGAGTTATCTTTTTTAAATGAATCAAGATTTAAATGTTGACATGTATAAATCAGTTTTTGGTACTTCGAAATGTAAAAAAATTCTAATATGAACACCTAGATTAATAAGTATGTGGTTATATGTAGGATCCTTCGATCGGGATAGATAATGAAAGAATAGAAATTTCTCAAGACTTTGACTTACTTCTTCCAACGTTTAAATTGAACAGTTATTTCTTTTACATCATTCAAAATTTGTTCAATGAATTTTTTACAGAAAAATCTAGAAAAATCAATTTATTTTGCATAAAACATTCATTATTGACTAGATGGTATTCGAGTTTCACTTGGCTGGAATATCTGGTTCAAAGCTGCCAATGTCGATAAATGGATTAATCGTTTGGATAATCGCAATGAAATGATTTTCTCCGAAAGATAATCAAGATTATTTTGTCACTGTGAATGGCAAACGTTACGTTTCGACCAACCAGACGATCGACGTTAGAAAGAAACTATGAAGTAGCCATTACAGAATTCACCTTGAAGAGAATTCTATAAACGATGCATATCTCTCTTATCTATAGGCAAAGAGAGTAATGATCAAATTAAGCTTGTGTTTTTGGACAGTTTCCTGTAAGAAAATAGAGAAAACGGATGTTATCAATTCGATCATAAGATTTCATTCTTGCAGTTGCACGAACGTTTTTTAACTTTTCCTTTTTGAGATTATTACCACAGAAAATGAGAACTGTTGATGCATACGTCAAGAAAGAAGAAACAGAAAAAACTCCCGAAGGAATGCATTAATTATCAGGTTACCTGGAGAAGTTCGTGCAACTAATTCAATACTACTACCTACACCATCGTGCAGAGCGTGCATTTTACCAGAATTCACTTCACTCTTTCTAGATGAAGTAAAGATCTTCACTACCATGTTTGAACACGGTTTAGATAGGTCAAAAATCGAGCACTCATGAAGCTTTTTCTTCAACAATCGTTGAATTATAGCATGATCGGCGATAAATCGGTAAAAAACCATAACAAGTCTCCTCCATTGTCCCGCGTAAACCAGACTGATTAGTGACTTCAGTACAATAAAGTTCTTTTCGAATAAAACACTTCATGAATACACGATATCTGACATGTCTGAATCATTTTCAGATACAGTAGTGAAAGGATGTGGGTGAAGATACGAAAAGAAAACCAATACACACATCAATCTAAACCTAAAATCTGAAATTATCATCACCTGTCCCTGTTTTTCACTTCATCTCAATCGAAATAACATCGACATCAACTCATATAACTATTTGTAATTTGCATACTAGCCCTTATCTATCTTCTCAAGCATTTTTTAAAATTTTCATGCTATAACGTTTCATTTTATTTTTTTACTTAGCTCGGAGTGAATATTCTGCTCAATTCTCTCTTGTGATATGATAAGTTCATCTAAATCTTAAAGCTTGACTCCATCTTTTGGCCATTCAACTGACGAATATAAACTATTAATTAATATTATTTTTTTTTAAATACTATGTTTTCATGTTCATAGAGAAGGTACATGATAAAAATGTATAGTGTAATATATATACAGAATGACAATCATCACTACTACTGATATCAATACCGTTTGAAAGTTTCAAAAAAGCTATATGAACAAGAAATCGTTGGATACAGAATAGTTGCTGAGGGATTTCTAGAAAATCAAATCTCTAGTTTTCTAGCATCTACAAATCAGAAGTATAGAATTTACTTTCACTATATGTAATAACTGACCGAGCAATTCTCTGTCAAATGGGACGTTGGGTGTAGGTGTGGGTGTAGACTCATAACATTTACTCATACACTCACACCCACATCCTTGTGTAACATTAATATAGCATCAGAAGCAGCGGTTTCCGGGCTTTCTCGCTATATACAATAATTTTAAAAATAAACAAGTTATGACAATGACAACACAAAAACTCGAAGGATATACTTTCAATGTACGTGGACTTTATTAAAACTATTTTCATCATTCTTTTTTCTTTGTCTTTTGGCTGTGTAATATCTGTTATTTGTCCTGATATAGGTTGATAATGATCGTTTTAGATCGAAAATTCCCATACATATATTAAAATTAAAAGAAATTATACTACATAAGATTTTTCATTATTTCATATCTTTCAAAAATATTTTCTTATATGACTGTTTCTTTTTCTAGTAGCAAATTCAGACTATCGTAGATTTGATTGAGGAAAAATAGAGAAGGCTCAGAACGAAGCATTCCCAATTGTCCAATCGCTTTTCACTTGAGTCTAATACCGTTCGATCGGGCATGATGAGTAGTAAAAGAACTCTGTTTCGGTTTGATTTTTCCATCTTTACTTGTCGAATTATGAACATTTTATTCGATTTTCGTTTAATGACCATATAATCGCTGAGAATCTGAATGATCGAATTTTGAACTAAAATTTTGTCCATTGAGAGGCTTTATAGACACTAGAAATATCTCAACGTTTGAACCAGAAAGAACATATTCTTAATAAGATATTTACATTTTAAAGAAACGCTTGTTATAGGGGTCTAGGTGGAAAATATCGAAAGGAAAAATGTCGAATACTCTTAAAGATGTCAGAATAAAAATTCAGTTGTTTAGTTCTTATCGATCACTCTTTCGACCAGAATATTTTATTCCCCATCGAATAAAGAAAAGAGTGTGCGTGTGGATGTGGCTGTTGGTGAAGAAAAGAGACATCAACACCTACATCCACACCCCACACCATGAAAAGTAATATTTAAAGAAGATTAAAAACCATGCATACGACTAATCTTGAATCCTCACTCTTCTACAATGACAATTTCGTTTGGAAAGACTTATAAAAGAAAAAACGATCATATTGGTCATTTCTGTTGCAGACGTCGTGTGCACCAATTGATGGATCGGTACGAATTGTTTCTTCTAAAGTGGATGCCCTTTATTGAAGCGAATTAATATTTAAAAAAAAAAGAGCACAAATGTAATACATCGTTTCCTATTATTTCTTTTTTCTTTTCTCTCTCTCTGTTTTTTTTTTTCGTTCCTTTGTTACACGTTTTTCTTTGTTGCTGCTTATCAGTACACTTCTCTTTTTCTCTCTTCTTGATAGTGTATGTTATTCTTTTATTTATCCTTTTGATATCCTAAAAAAGCGCGGGTCAGGACTCATCGTATTAATATTGGTGGTATATCATGAAACGTTTTGTATTATTGATGTAGATTCGGGCTCGAATATAGTCATTTCTTTTTTTCTATCATGTAAACACTTCTGAGTGTTGCATGCACTAGCATAAATAAAAAATTCTGATAATGTTTTATGGACAAAAGAGGAGGACAAAAAATATAGTTAACGCCTACTAGAGAGAGCAAACAGAAAAGATTTTTTTCCTTTTTCTTATATATTACAGTTCTATTATTTACTCAATCTTTTTCTCGAACACGCTATAGAGAATATACCTGATAAGATAATACACTCCTTGGCTCTTAAATAGTTTAACAAACTTCACTTTGTGTGCTTGAAAGTAAGACGTTGTAAGACTTGAAACTTTATGTATGACTCAATATCATTACAATGTTGAGAAGCAATTTGCAGACTCCTTTTTATTTTGACTTCCATGTAGTCAACCTAAATAAATTAATAAAGTGCATGCTTTGAATCGTTGTATTCTTGTGCTTCAGCGAGTTATTTCGAACGTATTTTACACTTTTTTTTATTTCAAAAATATGGACGCGCAAAGTTTCTCTGTGCATACCATTTGTAGAAGGAATAATTGCATATCTTGAAACATCTCGTAGAGTTCTGATTTCATTCTTTGTATAAATAGAAATTCTGAAATTCTTGTCGACAAAAATCTTCTAATTGTTTTTTCTCTATTATTTAGATTGCTGCAATGGTTCTTCACTTATATATCGATTGGATATCCCAGCCTTGCCGTGCCGTTGCTATGTTACTGATGGAGAATAATATTGAACATCAAGTTCATGAAATCGACGTTCTGAAAGGAGAAACTCAAAACGCTGAATACAAACAGGTGAATCCAGATGGAAAAATTCCATCGATCGTTGATGATGATTTTCATTTGGGCGAGTCTCATACAATAATGCGCTATATATGTGCAAGCAGGAATCTACCTGATCATTATTATCCAAATGATATTAAACAACGTGCTAGAGTTGATTATTGGTTAGACTGGCATCACACAAATTTACGTCACGGATCAATCCGTTTAATAAAAGCAAATATACTTGCTCCTATTAAAAAATATTCGCAACAAACAATCGATGAATCACGAAAAGAAGGTGACGCTGTGTTAAAATCAAGTTTAAACTTCATGGAGGAAGCCCTGAGTAAAAATAACTATATTGCCGGTGGAAATCAATTTTCAATTGCCGATATTGCCTTAGCATGTGAAGTGATAACCTTGCCAATTGTAGGAGCCTCATACGAATCTTACCCCAATGTTCAGGCATGGTTGAAAAGACTTTCAACAGAAATCAAGTCCTGGCATGAAGCTAATGCGAAATTAGATCAACTTTTGGCATCGAAGAGCAAATAAGCCAATACTGCTCTTTTCTTCTTTATAAAACCAATGCTATTATTTTCTTTCTGCACACTTCTAATTAGCTAATTCCAAAGCATCTTTGAGTGCTGCGTATGTTTCCATTTTTTTAACACAAAGAAATAAATCCAACAAAGTCTAGTGGACATACTATTCACTGTAAGAAATAAGAGTGGGAGCGGGGGTGTGGGTATGGGTTATGGTGGGTGTGTGGGTATGGGTGTTGGCCATTGAAGAAATCACATCAACACCATCGCACACCCATACCCACACTCACACTCACATCCACATCCACACTCACACCCAGACGCCCACACCCACACCCACACCCACCCACACCCCAATGAAAGTCTAACTTGAGTTGATGGGGACCACAACTATTCGTTGGAAAACTCCGTAAAACTTCGATATCAAAATAATAAAGACCCGAAAAGCAAACTATTGTTCACTTGTTTGTTACTCACTAGTATTGATCAAATAAAGATCATCTCGATCGAAAATTGATTTGACTGTTCGAACAATTCTCTCATAAGTCGAAGTGCATATATATGTTTTGTTTTGTTAGATAACAATCGATTCCAACTTCATCACCAATACATCTTTTCTCTTTCAAATGATCTTTGCTATATTAACCATGTAATGATTAAAAACAAGCAAAACAAAAAGAATACAATATTTACAATGATATAAATTCTACCCTTAACAATTTCAGGAAGTCTAAAATCAAGTTGTAACCAGAATATAAATGCTTTAAACCGACAAATGTGACTTTAATTAAAGTAATGATGAATTTTGTTTTTCGATGAAACAATTAACGTTTATATTTACTAAAAAATTGTTAAAATAGAAATATACAGGATAGAATAAGATAGGTCTTGAATCGAAATAACGATCATTCAATAGAGTTATTGTAGACATTTAAACTGGGAAACTACATTCATATGTAAACAATAGCATAACTTGAGAAATATTAATATTTATTACTAGGAAAAGATTATCAATACTATTGTATGAATATCATTGTAATTGATTCTACTTCCCTCCCACTCTATATTTGGTACGAATACTTCTATTGCAAAAGTATAAAATATGTTCGTAAAGAGGAGAAAAACACTAATAGTGTTTTCTATCACACGATGTTTGTCGTTCGATGTTGACCATCAAGATGCTCAAAAGATTCTACTAAATCATATCTTAGTCAAATCATGTTGTAGGATGTGGATGTCAGTCTTCTTCTCACCAACCAAAACCCTCAGTCTTGACAAAGCGAAAAAAACTGTATATTAAATATAAAATAGCGAGTCAACTAGATGTTCTTTTTTAAATAAAAACACCAAACTCGAATAATGCTTTCTTTCGTTTATTTTTAGTAGATCATTTGAACAAAAAACTTTTATTTAAGAAAAAAGTTTTTAAAAACAATCCGAATGTCCTTTCCTGTTAATTTCTCGACTTATTTTACTATCTCGTCTTCCTATTGTATGACGTTTATCTCTATATAGTTCACTTATTGTTTTAGTTTTGTTGTTTTCATTTTGAATTGGCGATTATTGAATTTGTTTTGCAACAAAACACCTTTTCGATGATGTAGTTTCTCGGTTCATTGTTGTTATTACAATAGTTCTTGAAAATGTTTCATTTAGACCATATTATTCTATAGTAGAATCAAGATTTTCATCACCATACTGATTATCTACAAAAGATATTAATTTAAGAAAATTCTTTTTTTAGAATAGGTTTTTACTTAGAAACTCTTGTTTAAGAACTTCATCACGTAGACTAGTTGATGGTCTAGGATTTTCATTGTTAAAATCATGTGAAGGAATTGAAAATGTAGTTGAGAAGTTGGAGACAAGTCGATCGAAATCAACGAAGATTCTTTCACTTGAGGAAAATAAACCATTGAATGGAAAATCATCATTATAATCTTCCGCTTTAGTTTTTATTATTTTTATTTAAATACTAAAGAAACTATATAAAGCATGTCTTTAGACATTTAATTATCTGTTAGTTTACAACACTTTTGACAGTCTAATAATAAATGAAAATTCTTCTTTTTTATGTGAACAATGGTTTATTGTAATTTGAATCGATTATTTCGAATTTCAATATGTTTAATAAAATTGAGCAAGAAAAAGCTGCCGGTATGAATATTAAATAGCTGTGCGTGACACCTCGTAGTTCAATGAACTAAAAGAATTTTATTTAAAAAAAAAGTTACTTAATAACTCTTCTCACGTAAATTTCTATATTTTGAAAATGAACTCGTTTACCAATTGGATCATTGAAACGAGATATTGCAAAGGTCGAATATCAAATAAAATCATGTCAATAAAGTTTCCTAGATAATTATAAAGTATTAAATAGCGTTGATGTCGTTTTATAAATCGAGATTATTTATTTATATATTATCATAGAATTTCAATGACTGCTGAAGTGAACTTATTTCCAATAAATGTATTGATTCTAAAGTGTCGTTTTAGAAACGGGTTTCTTTATCTTTCTCTTGACATAGATAAAGTTAGCACCATATTCGAGTTTTTTGCGTCTGGATTCATTTTTGGACTTGGGCTGGCTCTCTATAAAATTAACAGGAGTATCCCAATGTCGCCAATAAGACTTGTCAACTGCACCTTTACCATTGGTGAAAGTTCGGGATTGTATTGGAGTAAACTCGGTCGGTTTTCATCAGTTATTAGGAAAGAATATTAATGTAAAGTACAAGTGAGAACCGAGTGCTAGAATATATTTTGTTGTCTTCAATTATCAATGTGGTCGATAGAAATCTCTCTGATCCATGTGTCAGTTACCTTCAAATTGGCGAATGTCAGGTTGGCGATATTTCGGTAATCCAGTAACAATACTTTTGAACAAATGTGCCCTTTCTAAAATTTTTTTGCAAACTGGATATTCAAAAGGATGGGGTCCAAAAATATGATTTTTTACCTGGACGTTCTTCATGCATGATTTCCTATGAAATTCAATACTTAGAATAAGTTAAAGTATTCTTTAAGTGCATGTTTGCTTCTTTTTCTAAAAATAATCAAAGACACTTTTTCTTTCTTCAATTACACATATTTTTCTTTTGTTAACTATGCACAGTATAAAAATAAAACTACTTACCAACGAAGATGAAAAACTGAACGAAAAAAAATAAAAGTATTCGCTATAAAGTAACACAAAATTAATGTTGTTAATAACATAGATAGATTTTCTCATCTTGTATAATTAATTTCGTGATATATTCTTATATAATGAACGATAGAAAATTAAATTTATATATAATTTCTATGAGGCAGCAAACAAAAAGAAAAACATTAATTTAAACACATCGATGTATTGATATTCTAATTGTTTTCGATTTTTATAATAAACAATAATCAACCATAGAGAACATATGATATAATCTTAATCATAATGAATGAATAAAACACTTACAAATACAAGTATAACACTCTTAACATATACATACAATGGGATAGGCGTAAAGGATAAATAAACTGATAGGTAATTAACATCTACAATAGGTAATGCTATATTGTAACAGACAACAGATGTTTGCAATAATAATAAAAATTCTTTTTTTTTGGCGTCCTTATTTAGATAAATAATATGACAAAAATCTTATACGAATATTAGTTTATTATTAAATTGTTTATGGATTCAAGATCTATTCAACCACAAAGAATACCAATTATGATTTCATAGCAATCAGTATTTATACTGTTGGCTAAATCTTATATTATTAAATTGTCATATTGTGTAAATTTCTTACGACAGATATATATTCTTTTTTTATTGTTTAATGAAAATTTCGATACCAATAAATATTAAACAATCAAAACTCTATTATGCACTTAGTTTGGCCAAATTCATGGATTTTACATGAATTAGTAAATCTAATTATGAAAAAAGTCTAAAGTATTTTATTTAAAAATATACAACTACAAATTTAAGGTAAGAGCGAGAGTTAAATTAATGACGCAGTGATATATATCATCAATAGAATTATTCGCTGTTGAAAACGATGAGATGTCAAGATGAGAAAGACCAATTGATGCTGACATACGTTATCACAAGTTTAGGTTTTCGTATAATCAGCACATTTGTTCTTTTGTTTTTTGCTCTCAATGAACTTTTGTGAAGAAAAATAAAAATATTACGAAAGACATAAATAGAATGAATACAATATGATTAAAGTCATTTGGCAAAATTACGTACATAAAAAATGGTAACAGTTCTTTTTTTTTAAAAATAGTATTTGCATGTGTTTTTTTTTCATTGAATTGAGTAAAATTTACGTTAACAGTATGTTTATACTCTTTTAAATATATATTAAATTAATTTTTTTTTTATAAAATTATTATTTTATTAATCAATATTATCAAGTAAAATTTAAATGTAGATTTTATTCTTGGAAATATTTAAGAGAGTATCTACGACAAAATCAAGAAATCGAGGCATACTAACCTATACGTTAATTTTTATTGTTTTTGTGTGCGTTCGAAAGTCTAACATCTCAAATTACCCAATAAAGTAAACAATAAATTTCATAATAAATGAAAACTTGTCGACAACGAAATTTATTAGTATTACATAATAAAAGTTATGAAAATTGTCATAGGTTGAACTTTCGAAATTGATAATATTTTAATGACCATCAATATGAGAGAAATTATTCATATGATCAAGTTCGAACTGAATGTAATACAAAATTAGAAGTTTTCGTCTCACCATTTAATGAACACAATTAATAATCAGTATGATAATCATTAGTAGTCTTTACTGTTTGAAGTCGATATAGATAAGAACATTGAAGAGTTTCAAATAGCTCCATATTTGTTTTCATGTTTGCATAATTGTATTCTTGATTATTGTTCTGATATGTTCTTCAGTCGTATTGAGAGTGGATGAATTTATACGATACATATCGTTACCTCAAAACGAACACTGTTGTCTTGAGACAAATACTGCATCATATTCTTGCGCGTCCATATTGATCCATCGTAGACAAACATTACTTCATTAGCAACTAGATAAGAAAGGAAATATATTTTGAACTGACTCTTATTATTTTAGATAGTGATTTCATATAGACGTTCTCTTAAAATTCATGTCTTTTTTTTCCAATTTTTTTGTTAATTCATTAAGATTGAAACTAATCAGATTATCAATTATTTTTGAAATATAATTCTTCATCTATTCAGGTCTCATTGAAACTCTCCATTTTATATCAGCTTACAATAATTAAAATTATTAGCCATATACATACTTTAAAGCAAGTAAACTCACAACAAATATCGCGAAGCCATGGTGAAATTTATCCTTCTGAATCATGTAGGCAGTATTTCTCTTTATCTTCAAAGTTCTGAAGAAACATTTGTTGTATCTTCTCTTCTCTTCTCTTCTTCCTCCTCTTATTGTCGTGATTGCTTCATTCTTTGATTTTTTTTCTCTCGTTTGCCGATATAGTAACGAAGAGGAAAAAATGGGAAAAGAGCCCGGCAAAATCAGGCAATGGAGCCCGGTGTGCTTAATTGGCTAAAAATATAAGGCAAAGGAGCCCGGAATCTTTTTAACAGTTAAAAACAGGCAAAAGAGCCCGGTAAAAAAAGTAATTAAGTAGAGAACAGGCAAAAGAGCCCGGTAAAAAAGTAATTAAGTAGAGAACAGGTAAAAGAGCCAGGAATGTTTCTATGTACATTTACATATACATATAAATCTAGTAAACAGAGGAAAGTAGATCAGTAGAAGGAAAACGAAAAGATAAAGATAAACATCATGTTTAGGGATGCACCAGTTTCAGTCATGGCTGATCACCCAGTCTGACTATCAGATCTATGCTTTTGATTTGAAGGAGCTGCACGAATGACACCCTCAACGAACAATGGATTCGAAAGTCTTAATGGACGTATTAAACAACAGTACACGATGAGAAATAAGTTACCTTTGGGTGTCTTAATGTCAACTGCTGAACGGATGCTACGAGACTGGTCAATTTCTGTTCTGGAGCATCCATTTCAAACACATATCACTCTTGATGATAAAATTGATTCAAAAGCTTATGAATGGTTACAAAAAGTTGATAAATCACAAATACTACAGTTGAATGCATTTACATTTGTTGTACCGCCAACAAATGCAAAAATGAATACAAATACATGGGTGAGCCTCCTTTATTCTATGGATTGGCAAACATATGACCAATTTAAAGATTGGCTTAACTCGGCTCGAATTTTAGATTACTCATAAACGTTGCCACCCATTTTTTTGTTCCTGTGAATGTGGCCTAAAAGAATATTACTGTGTCCACACAACTGGTCTTATGATAATGTGGGGTGTTCGAAAAATCCCGCTGCTCATTGGGAAAAGGAGAAATAAAGGTAGAATAAAGAAAGCAAAATATGCTTTGTCAAAAGACTGATTTTCATTAAAGTACTACTCATGTGAGCATTAATACTGTATTATGATTTTTTTTGTTAATTTATGTAATTTTACTTCTTCTATTAAATTTGGCTGTCTGAAGTTAACTAACTTATTATACAATGTTTTACTTGCAGATCTGTTGTCTCTCTCAGGACTAATAAAAATATTCCGGGCTCTATTGCCTGTTCTCTACTTAATTACTTTTTTACCGGGCTCTTTTGCCTGTTTTTAACTGTTAAAAAATTCCGGGCTCCTTTGCCTTATATTTTTAGCCAATTAAGCACACCGGGCTCCATTGCCTGATTTTTACCGGGCTCTTTTTCCAACGTGTCCGTAACGAAGAAATAGAACGATAAAGGAATCCGTATGCTCGCAAAAATATTGATATACGATTTATTTTATCAAACATGTCAATTAAATCAAAACAATTACTTTTTCAACTTAATTAAAGCTATTCAAAACATCGAAAAGTGAATTGAGTAAAAATGATTGATATGTGTAGCTTGCATTCAAATTTATATTTAAAACTCATAATTATAACCCAAGTTATAACTATTTCAACGTCTTGCTGTTTTCTAAATTATTGACTTTCTAAAATACAGTTTCGATCTCCAAATTGATCTACAGTTCAGCAATATGACCCCATCGCCTTGTGCATCATATCGATAGTTTTTCACAACCATTTGAAGAATTTTTCTGTCACATCTAGGGATGTGATATTTTGGAATTCTTCTTACATTGCGCTGATCTCTGATGAGAACAGTCATATGGATTTATTTATTTATTTTTGAAGATAAAATAAGTAAAAGTTGAGCAAAAAAAACTAGCGAGAATAGAAATGAAAGTGTTTTAAAGTTTGTTGTTCAGCTGTCGATAATCTTGTTTCGTCAAGTTAGGATTTAAAAAAACAAAATCGTCGACCTATGACGTTCATTGGTTCGAACGAAACAAGAGGTGTTGGTGGGCCACGGACATCAGTGAGAAAACTGCCGAGAGGATAGAATTTTAAGTTGAATGTTCCAGATAAATATTCACCATATTCTCTTAAAGTCAAAAGGATATCAGCAAGGTACAATGAACTTGGAGTATTGCTACCAGCCACATGGTAATTATAACCAGAAGTGCGGATATGAATTTTATTCCTTCCAACACATCTCCATTCTCCAAGGGGAGAAGTATATGGTGGGGCTTCAACTCCGTTTCCTGCATTAAACCCATTTTCTGTATTAGTAACTACATTAACTGTGCCGTCGTCACGAAGCAATAATAATTCATAGATTACAACATTGCCAAAATTGAATCTGATTTGATACGCTTTACATCTTAAGTCGAGACATTCATGATGTTCATCGTGAGAGCTAATTAACGCTGGCAGAAACAACATCATAAATACTAGCAGCATCATTTCTTTTTTCTAAATGAAAACAGTTGTTCATATTCATCTTTCTTTTTGAATACAGTCCACATTTGCTTTCTTTTGTCGCATTGAACTGATTTTTACTTATTTTACCCAAACTAACTTAACTTATGGATGTTGGTGAAAAATACTAACAACCAACTACCATTGAAATCTTACTCTTAGAGGCAAGGTAATCAATCTATTGAACAGAAACCTCCAACGTCATTAGACAAATATCTATCGATGTCTATCTATCTATTTTCTTAATGAAAATTAACAAGATTCACTACACATTAGCACCCACGACCAATACACTAACAATTCATCAATATTTGCTAGTAAACATTAACAGTGCAGCCAAGTTCCTATACATTTTGTTCGATGAACTTCCCTTTCTTGTAGATTATATGTTGTTCAAGACTTAGTGCTCGCCATACTATTTCGATATAATAGTTAAATGTTAGTATGTTTTAGTGCTACTCTTAGCATGGCAAGTAAAAATTTATCAATGACTGGACACGAAGAGAGCTATTTTGAGAATAGCGCGAGTAACTGATTTAACTTTTTTCTGTCAAAATAGATGCTAGGAATTCCATGGTGAAAACAAGTTTATAGTCAATTTGTAAATCCCTGAGTTTATTAGGCATCCACTATATGGAACAAACGAGATATTAGAACCATTTTTTAATCTTGAATCTGGTCGCTGGAAGCAGATCGTGATCAGAATTTCATCTTACAAGTAGGTCTTAGTGACGCGTATTTATCATGATAAAATAGCTTCTTCAAAAAAAAAGAACTAATTAGTCTGCACTACTTATTTCTTATCCAATCTCCGCACCTATTCGCAACCAGTAGAATAATTACTATAATACAGAAAAACAAAATACTGTACGACGTTACTGGTAAAACTTGTTAATAGTAAAATCTGCTCGATACTAATGCCTCAAAAGACCTTCTCAAGAGAAAACACTTTCGAGATACATACGTTTTTTACTTGAATTTGTACGAAGTCTTCTGTATACACGTTCAGAATGATAGTTTAATTTAGCGATGCTGTTTTATAAGCGAAATAGCTGCAGCGCTCTGTTTATATATACATCACTAAATATGACTCTTTTGTGCATTCATCCATTACATGAAACAATATACAGCGGTTGTAATTCGATATTTTTCTGTTTTTCCTCAACAACTACTATAATCCTTTTGCTTATTCAGTGATGCATAATGCGAGTAGCTTATAATAGAACAATAGAAAGTGTGTCGAATATTGGCAAAGATGTGCACAATATAACGATGTAATTAAACTTTTTGTTGATTATCGATTTGTTTATTTTGTGATGAATAATGCAAGTAGTTTATGATAGGACGAAAGAAACTGAATCGAATATTTATAAAGATGTGTACAGTCAGTATAAAAAAAATGACTAAAAAAACTGACTTTAATAGATTTTTCTCTGATCAAAAGCCGATTAAAATGTCACAAATTCATCCAGTTTTTATCAGGTCTTCTGATTTTAATAGATTTTAATCTAATTGATCGGCATTTCGACTTTCATAAGTATGAATTGGTGTTGTATGTGAAAGTATGTCAAAGATAGAGTTAGTACTACAGTTAGCATTCATCGACGTGATGAGTCCGAAAACATAATTCAAAATTTGAGTTTCTAAGTTAAAACTAAAGGAAAACCTGTTCTCTAGTCACAGCAATTAAAATCGAGAAATCTGATTAGAATTGGATTAAAATCAGGTCATTATGGCCAATTTTTCATCTAAAAAACATCGATTAAAAACAGATTTTTTCGTCGTGCTTTTACATGGGAATATGATACTTAAATGCGACTTTTTACTGATTATCGTTTCGCCTATTTTGTGCTGCATCATGGAAGTAGCTTATTATAGAATAATAGAGATTGAATCAAATATTGGTAAACACGTGTACAGTGTAGTAGTTTAATTAAGCGATTTTTACTGATCATTATTTTGATTATTTTAGGATGCATAATGCAAGTATATTTTTTATAGAATAATACATATTGAAGTCAATATTGGCAAAGATGTGTACAATACAATAATTAAATTTAAATTATAACTGATCATCGTTTTGGTTATTTTGTAATGCGCAAGGCAAGTAGCTTATTAGAGAACGATAGAGAATAAATCGAATAGTCGTAAACATGTGCAGAATACAGTCGTTGGTTTAGTTTTTTATTATTCATCGTTCGTTTTTTTTGTAGTTCACTATGCAAGCAGCCTCGTGGAGGCCAAGATAAGCTACACTCACACGCTACACACACAAGTGTGTGTAGCTTATCCTAGCGTGTTTGCACCAATAGAATTACTTTCCATGTTTTATTCTCATCAATCCAGAAATAGTTTGACTTTGACATATATTGAAAAGAATGTATATAACCAGCTGTATTAGTTGAGTTACCAGATTTTTTTTTAATTAGTTGCTTATGAAAATAAAGTAAATGCTCAAGTTGATTTATAATATTATTTTCAATTCGATTGATTATTGATTTTTATCGTTCAATACTGAAAATTCAAATACGAACTAAATCAAAATAAAAAAATATTAAAAAAATTTTTCTCTCATATTAAAATAATCTTGTTTGATTTGCATTCAAGAAAAAAATCTATATGTTCTTAAAAAAGAAATTAAAAAAAACTTTTGAATTATTTGTCAATGATAAAGTTGATTTTCTGAGTTACTTGTTTTCTGTTTTGAACCCGAACGATAAAGTATCCATTGACTCACAGTTAATTTCCATATTAAGGCATCAAAATCAGTCATCTTACTCTTCTTAGTATAGAATACTTCTGTTTAATAGGTCTGTTTGAAAGAAATTTAATAAGAAAAATCTGTAGTTGGTGAGATAAATAAAAGTCAAGTTCTCATTAAAAGTATCACGTTAATAATCAACACATTGGGTTTAAAGATTCAAAAATTTTAGTTGTGAATGTTTTTGAAATATGAATAGATAGGCAACAAGCTTGTTCTAATGATACAAAAGTACAGTTTTCATTGCATCGAGTACTTAATGAATGTTTAGCAATACCGTTGTTATTTCTTCTAAGTTTGACGTCCACAAAAACTGATTATCAGATTATGTATATCAGTTTTCTTGATAATTTATTTAATCAAATAGATAATTCCAGCTACAAACAGCTTCTAGAGAATGAAAAGAAAATAACGAAAGTATGTTGGAGTAGATTATGAAATCATTGCTTTTGAGTTGAATTGATAATTTCATATGCTTTCCAGAAATAACAAAGCGAAAGATTTTATTAGAAATACCCGCCAGAGAAATCGGCAATGTGCTTTTTTTCGATATTTCTAAACTTAATCTGGCAAAATCCATGCTTATAGCCATTGATAAAATCAAAAGAAAGTGTTGGTATTATCTAGCATAATTCTTTTGTGGAA